TTGAGAACTGCTGGTCTAGAACAAGGGGGCCATTTGACCTTGGTGACTGTGTACTGTGCAGTAGGTGGTGGAGTTGAGGCATGCCTGTTCAATCGTGAGTCTGTCAAGGATTGAGAGGGGCACTGAGTAAAGTAAGGGGAGGGTCAGGTCTGTAGGGGTCTCAAAGAGTCTTACCCATTTGTGCCAGATGGCAGAATCTTCAGCTTTTGTTAAGTGGATGAAAAGGAGCGGTTAGAAAAGGGAACTGCTGACAGAGATGCTGTAATGCACGGTTATTTTCAGGTTGAGGCCAAGACTGGGGAAGAGAACGGGAGTCTACATGAGGACCTTCCATCCCCACTTTCCCAGCCCGTCAGGCTGCACCATGTCACCCACTCCTTTCAGCCTCCAGAAGGAAACAAAGGAGGGAGGTGCCTAAAGGGACACACTCTGACTCCCGGTGTTATGGCCCGGGGAATTCTCTGAGTAGAGTTACTCAAAAGCACTTCAGGAAGAACACCTCTGGCTGAATTGCATTGGAAGGAATCAAAGATTAACACAATGCCAAACGTCCCAGCCTTCTGCCATCTCCTATGGGAATCTCTTCCTTTTTGTTCTTTCCCTTCTCCCCTCCCCCCCCCTCCCACGGAAGGGTAGAAACCTTGGTTAGTTATCACCCATCACTTTCAAATACTGAAAATCGTATTTGAACTTGCAGAGTTGAATTTCGATAGATTATTTCTCCTTTGCTTGTGTACCTCTTCCAAATTTGAAATTCTTTAGTTGTATCCATTTTGTCCAACTTCATGTCACTGCCTTAACATTGCAGTGCCTGTCATTTATTTAAACGACAGCTTTCACGAGCAACGGCAAAGAAACTAGCTTGTTTTCATGTCTCTATCATAATGCTGCAGCAGTAAATAATGAGGGCAAGAAAATAGCGTGTTTCATCCGTTTCTGGATCTCGTGGGCTTTAGAAAGTCTCTTTAAGAAGAACAAATGAGTTAAATCCCCGGAAGAAGGGCAAGGCGAGCTTCTGATGTCTGGATTCTCTTCCTTTGACTGCACCTGCGGTGCTGTGAGTCTCTTGGGAATTGAGGAAAACCGCGCAAGCAGTTGCTGCCCACCAGAGTTGTCCTTGCAGATTAAAATATCAGAGTTGGCAGCGTGTTTGCATCACGAGCCATCAGATGTTCGTCTTGGGAGACTGCCTTTGTTGTTTCTTCCGTCGAGGTGACGAAGAAGTGCAGGAAGCTCTGGAACGCGTTTCCAAGACTGCCCCACCACCCACACCCACTGCTGTCCAGCGGCTCGCATGCGTAGGACACATCTGCAGGGCAGTGAGCAACTCTGTGGCTCTTCTAGCCCAAGAGTCTTCACGACTTTTCTTGCACGTGTCTGGTAAAAAGGCGGTGGCTGAAGATCCTGATAGGCTCACCTGTGAGTAATTGTGAACGGGACTCCCTGGGATGTCATCCTGCTGTGCATAAAACAAACCCTCTGAGAAGCGGGGGGAGAAGAGGCTCATTACCAGCAAGATGCAGGAGTGGATCACATCCTCTGGACCCGAGATCCCTCACAGTAAACCTCCTGCACCCAGACGACACCTATGACGTCAGAGGAGCAGCAGCAGAAACAGGAGCCAGAGCACGGCGGAGTGGTGGGCTTTCCAACGCATGGAACAAGTAGAGCTGAGTGTTTGTGCAGGAGGCTGGCCTGCAGAGTGGGGTGCCTCCGAGCACTTAATTGGGGGAGCTGGGTTTGCTGACCCGCAGTACTGGAGCTGAGTACCTTCAGGCTGAGGCTAACGGGAGTGGGTGCTGACAGACACAGTTCAGAATGTTGGGTTTGCTTGACCCTGGAGCTTGAGCTGAGGCTCACAGTTCAGTGGTATTTCTTCTGGCATTTGTTAGCAGACCTGAAAGAACTTGGTAACATGCCCTGAGCATTTCTCACTGGCATGACAACTTCTTTACTTCCTTAATAAACCCTTTAATCATGAATTTTGTGTGAGGTCTTTGTAGCCATTGCAATGGGTATTAAAGCCTAGAGATCATGTAGAGAATACAGTGAAAATGCCCTGTAGGTCAGGGTTTCTGAAGCTGTAATTGTTACAGGTGCAAGTAGCCTCATCTTTCACCTGTGGAGCAGCTGGTAAGTTTGAACCTGTGACCTTGTGGTTAGCACCCCAACGCCAAACTCTCAGTGCTCCCAGGGCTCCTTAGACATCTCAGTGGGCTGAGATGACAAAGGATCTCTAATTCCAAAATGACTTAGTTTTCTCTCCTCCGGGCCCTCACAGGAAGAGGCCTGGTGTGTATCCACACAAGATGGGTGCTGGAGCATTAGATAACCGGAGATAGCTGTCAGTAGCCCAGGTGACTTTTGTGAGCCAGTCAATTCAAGATCATCATCAAAGGTGCTTTGAGAAAGAGGGCTGCTTTTTTTGACGACTACTTTCCGTAATTTAAGGGTGTGGTGGTGGTTGTGTCTGAAGCGATTCTGACTGGGGGACAACCTCGTGGGCTTCCTGGGCTGTCACCTTTTGTGGAAGCAGATTCCCAGACCCTTTCTCCTCTGGCAGCTGGAGGGTCCCAATCTCAAACCTTTGGGGCAGCAGCCAGGGGCTACCAGGTTCTTCACGTATCTGGTAGGATTTTTGTTGACTTTCCTAGGCTTTATTTATATAGAATTTTGTTTGTTGAGTTTGAGAATATATGAAGGGACTTCAAAAAGTGTATGAAAAATGGAATTAAACGGTACTGGGACTTTTCCATGAACTAAGCCCCTCTCGTACCTTTCACTGAAAGTGATCACACTCTTCAAGTTGTATAACCTCTTTTTTGAGTTGCCCCGCCCCCTATTTACATAGCATGTACCCCCTATGGTTTCTATCCAGTTAAGCTAAATTATTCTTTGATTTTTTTTTAATTTTTTTTTTAAGAAAACGAGGGAATAATTCTTATTTCAAGAATATCTCAGGAAAATAGTTTCAGGGCTTCAGCCGACATCCATGACACCAGCAAGTGTGAAAAAATCCGTGAGGATTTGAAATCATGCTCCACCTCTTTCACCTTGGGATCACGGCTCCTCTGTGCACTCTGCTCCAAGTGTCCTGTCGCCGTAGCTGGGCGCCATTCCGTTCTTCTGGGCTTGGGAAGGAGGAGGCAGTTCCTCGTGAGGTGATTGGTTTTACGTAGGTTTTACATCGTCCTCCTGTTCCTGTCTGAGTTCCTGGAGAATAGAGACCAGTTGTTGTACCTTGAATGGCCCCTCGCAAGCTTGTTAAGACCCTAGGCGCTACAAGCGGATTCCAGTGAAACCAGGACCTACACTCCCACCCCGAGAAGCCAGGTCCCATGGGATGTGTGTTGCACGTGCATCCTCAACAGTAACCCAGCTCCCCACCCCGACCCCCACCCCTGCTTTGCTGTGAATCTTCCACACAACGTGAACCAGGTCAACTCTTAGGGATCTGCCCCTGACTGACCGCGATTGCAATAAAAGGCGGGTCACTTCATCAGTGTGGGGCCTCCATCATTAACCCTTCTCACTGTCCGGCTTCTTTGTTCATAGGCCTTTTCCTCTCTATGTAAATGAGGTCATGCGATAGTTGACCTTTGTTAATTGACTTATTTAATCAGCATGTCTTCTAACTACGCCCACTCTAGCATGCACCAAGACGATGCCCCCTACGGGTTGGGCAGCCCTCCCTCGTGTGGACCGCATCTGCCTGTTGATGGGCACTTTTTCGTGTGGACCGCATCTGCCTGTTGATGGGCACAGAGCTGGTTTCTTCTTTGGGGCTACTGTGCACGGTGCTGCCCCGAACATCGGTGTGCAATTTTCTGACTGTCAGCCTGCAAGCCTTGTGGGTCTATACCTGGGAGTAGAATGGCTGGCATTACTTCGTATTTCTGTCCAGTTTCACAAAAAGCATTACTCTTGTGGTTAAAAGAAAATGTCAAATAAAAAGCTAAAGTGATTGTTACTGAATGTTTATGAAGCTCACTGGTGGGGTTTAAGAAGGTAGGAATTCACTTTAGGGTTCCTATTTTTGTTTAATTTTAAAAGGAAACCAATGTTATTGTTTATATGTCAGTATCTTCATAGGATGCATCCTAGATTGACACGTAAAATTATTCCTAAGAGAACGTGGACATTAGCTTTAATTGACATGACTGCAGAGTTATGGTACGATTTTTTCCCATTCAGGTATAATCTTACGTAGATACCAAGCATTTTGTGGCCAGTGAGAATCCAGTGTGCTGGGGTGGCGGTGGCGGGGATGGACCTCTTGGGGGGGTGGGGCAAAGTGGGGAGGAAGGTGCCAGCAGGAACTTAGCAAATGCAGACTCCCCTCTACCTATGTGATGCTGAAGTACCTTCTTGTGTGGACAGTCACCGTCATCTGGGGGATGCTTGGAATTGGGAGCGGTTAGGGAAAGGATGTGGTTTTCATGAAGTCATTTTAAAACTCTGATGTCTCGGCACAGTTTGGTGATGAAATCTGCGCTGTATCCATGATAGCTTAACCCTAACCACCCCAGTGTTTCTAGAAGTCTCTGTGCAAAGTGGACATCTCAGTGTGTGAT